AAAAAAAAAAAAGTTATCATCTTTAGAAACTCAACACCTAACAGTTTTAATGACATGTTTTTCTCTTTTTTTGTGCATCATGTTCTCAAACCCTGCTTCTTCCTTTTGAGATCATTTTTCTTCTTACAGAAGTATATCCTTTCATCTTCTTTTATTCAGATTAATAGGTAACATTTAAAGGATGCTTATTTACATGCTAGGCACGGGTCTAAGTACATTACATAAAGGAATTTACTTAATCTGTACAATATCCTATGAGATAGATCCTATGAAATGTCCTATCCTATGAAAAGTCTTTATTTCAGCTTCACTCCTGAATAATAGTTTGGCTGGTAAAAGAATTCTAGATTTGCAATTATTTTCCCACAGCACTTTATTATTTTTTTTTTAAGATTTTATTTATTTGTCAGAGAGAGAGCACACGTGCAACAGGGGGAGAAGCAGGCAGAGGGAGAAGCAGGCAGAAGGAGAAGCAGGCTCCCTGCTGAACAAGGAGCTGGATGTGGCACTCGATCCCAGGACCCTGGGATCATGACCTGAGCCAAAGGGAGACACTGAACCAACTGAGCCACCCACTCATCTCTATCCCTCAGCACTTTAAAAATAATTTTGTAAAATGTCAATTTAGTTTTTGTCTCTTTGTAGGTAATCTGACTTTTCTCTCTAAAGGTTTTTGCAGTTTTTTCTTTTTCCTTTATTGTAGGTGTGAATTTTTTTTTAATCCTGTTTGGTCCTCAATGAAATTTTTCAACCTGTGGACTCATATCTTTCTTTAGTCCTGGGAAATTCTCGGCCATTATCTTTTTTTGCATTGCTTTTCCACCATTCTATTATAGGATCTTATAATCCTATCCCCCATGGTTCTTACCTTTTTTATCTTATTCTACCTTTGAATATTGCATTCTGGAATACTTGTTCATTTAATCTTTCATTTCACTAATTTGTTCTTCAGCTCTGCCTAGTTTACTACTGAGCTCATTTTATTTCAAACTTCATCAATCCAGGGATTGCAACTGGTTCTTTTTCATAGCTCCCCCTCTTGTTTTCATGCTTTATCCTGCTTTATCTCTTTGAGGATATAAAAAGTATTTCCCAAGTCCTTTTCAGATTGTGCCATTTGCTCTGTTTGCTCAAGAATTTATTCTCTCTCTCTCTCTTTTTTTTTTTTACATTTTGTGGATCACTCCTGGTGTCTGTGTTCCTTAGATGCTTTGTGATTCTTGGGTTGAGATCATTTGTTGATTTCTCTCATGAGCACCCTGGGTAGTAACACTCTTTGACCTGGCAAGAGGGATAGCTCCCCAGCCTCATTCTTTAGAGTCCTACCCATCACCATAGGGTGAGGAGTTCAACAGACTATGCCCAGCTGGAGCTACTCTACTCTTAGAAACCCTGAATTCCTTGAACACATGGCCCAAGCCTCTTTCCAAAATCTACATGGACCTCTTCCCAGAAGTCAGACTCCCAAGGGCAGACCATATGCTGCTGTTCGTTCACTGTTTTGGTTTTTTTTTTAAGATTTTATTTATTTGACAGAGAGGGAGAAAGAGCATAAGCAGGGGGAGGGGCAGAGGGAGAGGGAGAAGCAGGCTCCCCACTGAGCAGGTTGCCGGATGCGGGACTGATCCCAGGAGCCTGGGATCATGACCTGAGCTGAAGGCAGACGCTTAACTGACTGAGCCACCCAGGCACCCTGTTTGTTCACCCTTAAACCCAAGGGGTAGCCAAGTGGCAGCTGTTTACAGCGATATGTACATAAAGGTTGGAAAAACAAGGTGAGGTAATCACATGCATACATGACAGGCCCCTCATGATGTGGAACAGAGCCAGAGAAAAAGGCAAGTCACAGGCAGCCTCTTCCCTTATTGCCCCATTCCACCAAAGAATCCCAAGGAATCTAAGAATTTTCAATTTAAAGTTGTCCTTTCAACTTGTTATAAAGATATATTTGTGAAAAATATAGAACTCTACTTAAAATATTTTACTTAAACGATATTAACTTGATCTATAACTTTTAAATATCTATACATATAGTGTATAGGCCTCCATTTAAACTCCTACTCAGAGCCTCAAAAATGAGGGGGTAGGCCTGACTCAGTGGTTTTTACTGATACTTCAACCTCTGTGTTGGCAGGCACTGGCCTTCAGTCCTACCTATGGGCAGGAGAGAAGTCCTGCTTCCTCTAGTTTCAGGCAGGCAATTCAGATCTGGCTCCCCACCATTCGCAGTGCCTGCTCATCTTCATAGGCTCCCAGCTATTTCTTTCTTTTAGGAAGACATCTCCAATACTAAACTATGGAAATTTTCTTCCTTTTTTTAAAAGTGTGTGTGTGTGTGTATGGATATACACACACTAATATACACATAACCAATATATATATTCATATATATATACTAACACATATATATATTTAGATCAGGAGGGAAAAGTTTCAGCATATTTTTAATCTGTCTTCTAGGTCTGAAAGTAGAGCCTCTGCTTTCAAGTATGGATGTCAAGAATGCTTCATCTGAATTCGTAAGGTGAGCCAGGAAACATGAATCAAAACTAGAGCTCAGATATGAACATCTTTATTGTCTATGATGTAGACTTGACCACAGCAAACCATCACAACTGGGAAACAAAGGTAATCTCATGTTAATAAAAACCATTACAGGGTACCAACTATCTCCACCACCTGGGATGAGCTGGCCTCTCTGGCTCTTCCGTTTCCCAGCTACAATCAAGTGAGTTCAAGAAGCTAATGTCTAGTCATTTCCAAAAGCCCCTTTCCTTATTAATTTTTCTAATTTCACATAATATAGGCCTAGGTCAGATTTTATTGCATTCTAAGAGTGAATTTCTGAGCCTGAACCATATTAGCATTTCAGAGATAACAGCAAAAGAAATCACCCAAATCATCTAATAGGGTATGTAAGAGAGCTTTGATAAATTGCAAGATATTTTGGCAAAGTAAGATAATACTGTTACATATTATAGAATATACATTCAGTATTATACATTCAAAAAAGGTTTATGTGTAAAGAGGGAGTAAGGATTGCTCAATGAAAAGGAATTGATTTACTAGGAAAAACAGTGGGGGCGGGGGGAGGTGAGTCATCAGCAAATAAAATTAAGCTGAAATAGAACTTCAGCTTCAGGGATAAAGTACAATAAGCCTCCTTGCAATGGAAAGGGTATACTCTCTTTGAACAAAAGTATCAGTAGAAGTATGAGTCTATGAAGTAGCTCTGTTGAGCAAGACATTTTAAATAGCAACACTTTATACCACAGTTGCCTCTGAGCACATCATTTCCAGGAACTCAGTAGCATGCACGGTTATCAGGACAGGCAACCATAAATATTCAAGACAATTACCAACTCACCCCAAGTAAGAGTAGCCAGGGTCAAGAGCTCAGGGATTGAATCCTGACATACTACATATTCTGGAGAATATGGATCAGTTTGAACTTCAGCATCCCGATAATCAGTCTGAGTACCCACAGTGTACTTTGAAGGTACGGAAGGGTACTTAGCAGAAGAAGTAGGAGGGAAAATATATGCCTCTGTCCTAAAAGGGAAAATTATTTTAAAAATTAAAACCTGATCCAATCACTTAGAATACTATACAGTCAAGTAGAAATAAATCCTAATCTTCACTAAGCCCATTCCCCCTTTAAACATGCACAAATTCATGAATCCAGTGTAACCAGGATTGTGCCCAATTATCTTGAGAGAACTGCCTTGTTAGTCTCACCTCTGCCAAGAAACTGAAGGGATATAAAAGCCCAGGTCTACTCACAAAAGTACCTATTTATCTGTGTATCACTGGGCAGGATTGTAGTATAGAAATGTAGATTCTAGGATGTTATACAGTTACTTCTAAACCTGTTGAGAATTGCTATTTCCTGGTTTCTTTTTTCTCTGCTTTTAGTTATATAACCAAATTTAATTGTTTCCCTCTAGAAATTCAGGAGCAGAGAAAAGAGAAGAGATGCTTCTGATTTTTTAAAAAGGCAAGGCTCTTTTGAGATAGATGACTCAATAATTAATGCTAGGATTACTTGATTAACTACAGAAGTTACCTCATCCCTTGGACAAAAATTCCAGATATTTTAAGGCATTTAATGTAAAAATGAGACTATAAAAGTACTAACAGGAAACATAAGTAAATATACTATCTTTGAGTGAAAGTCTTTTTCAGCATGGCTCAAAAGCCAGAAACTATAAAAGGAAATGAATTAAGTTGAAACTTCTATACCTCAAAGTGTCATGAACAAATTTAAAATATGAATGGCACACTTAGAAATAGGTTTTACAACATATATGATAATAATTAAACACCCTTTCTATACAAAAAGCCCTTGTAAATCAGTAAGTTAAATACCAACAGAAAAATGCGTAACAATTCACAAAAGTGAAAACTAACAAACATATGAAAAAATAATGAACATAACTAGTAATCAAAGTAAAATAAAACCACAAGATTCTATCTTATTATATCACATAAGCAAAGATTTAAAAGATTGAAAATACCCAGCATTGATGAAGTTGTGAAGAAACAGGCATTCTCATAAACTGTTGATTAAAATAAATAGATATAACCTAACAGGTAACTTAGCAATATATATCTGACCTTTACAATACTCTTTTGCCCCAGCAAATGTACTCCTAGGAATTTATTCTAGGAAATAACTGGACAAGTATACAGAGATATATGCAAACACATTCATAAAGTCTGATGTGTAAGAATAAAAACTTACAAACTCTTTTTTAATGGCCAATTAAAAAAAATAGTTGCACCTGAGGTTATTAGGCATCAATCTTGGATCCATATTTTCATCTTTTTTTTTTTATTCTGGCTATTTTTAAGTACAGAAAAAAATTTTACATTAATTCATTTAAACATATGTCTACTCTTAACATAATTTTTATAGCAAGTATGATAGCACATATGCTTTAATGTTCTAGTGCAGGGCTTTTTTCTTTTTCTTTTCTAAGATTTTATTTTTAGATGTCCATCAACTGATGAGTGGATAAAGATGTGGTATATGCCTACAATGGAATATTACTCAGCCATCAAAAAGAATGAAATCTTGCCATTTGCAACAACAGAACTAGAGTGTATTACGTTAAGCGAAATAACTCAGAGAAAGACAAATACAATATGATTTCATTCATATGTAGAATTTAAGAAATGAAACAGATGAACACAGGGGAAGGGAAGGAAAAATAAGATAAAAACAGAGAGGGAGCAAAGCATAAGATACTCTTAACTATAGGGAACAAACAGTTGCTGGAGGGGAGGTGGGTGAGGGATGGGGTAACTGGGTGATGGGTATTAAGGAAGGCACTTGATGTAATGAGCACTGGGTGTTATATGCAACTGATGAATCACTAAATTCTACTCCTGAAACTAATAATACACTATATGTTAACTAACCTGAATTTAAATAAAATCTAAAAAATAAAATAAAGATTTTATTTTTAAGCAATCTCTGCACCCAATGAGGGGCTTGAACTCACAACCCCAAGATCAAGAGTTGCATGCTCCACTGACTGAGCCAGCCAGGCACCCCAGCAGTGCGTTTTTCTTTTACTTTTGAGTTTGCTTCTCTTAATATCTTTTCCTCCCTTATCTACCTATAGCAGTACCCTCTCTGTACATCCTAGATCTAGAATATATACTTGAATTATCCTTGAATCTTGCTGTATTTTTATCCACACTTATTTTTCTACACTCACACAAATATACACATAGAGTATTATTTTATTATTTTGCTAACATGGAAATCATATTATGAATACATTTTTGCATCTTGCCTTTTTAACTAAACCATACTTCATGGAAATCTTTCCAATCTATTCATGTGGCTCTTTTTCAAGAAAAATCAAACTTAAATGATCACCACCAATAGAAAAACTACTTCAAAAAATATGGCACACCTATAATGGAATTTATGCAACTATTAAAAGTAAAAATGTAATCAGAATTTATAAACATAAATAACAATTATTTCTGGATAGGATTACAGAATTTTTTCATGTTTATAGTTTTCTAAATTTTCTAACTTTTTTTTAAACCTAGAAATGTACTACTATTAAAATAAGGGGAAAAAAATAAGGAAAAAAACAATACAGCCATTTCCATTTAAAAGAAAATATGTTTTCTAGTTGGTAGAAGAGTTATTAAATTACATAAACAAAAAAACTAAATATAATGGCAAAAAAGAGAAAGATTTCCATTTTAAAAACAGTCAAAGGCAATGGGAGGTGTTTATAAAGAAGCAAAACATACAGAGCTTAGCTCTAAGAAAAATGCACTTCAAGTCAGCTAGAAAGAAGCACCTACTTGGAGGTTCAACCTGTAATGAAATAATACTTTAAATTGTTATTAATGCTGAATTCTAATGGTATTGAAATCATTTTTTCAGCAGCTGCTATGAATTTCTAACCTATGTAGATAATTTAGGTATTTATAATTTATGTTTTCAGCAGAAATTATTTGACTATAAAGATTCTAGTTGAGGAAATAACTGATGATATAAATAAGCTTTATATCATCCCAGGTCATATGAATATTATCAGGTAACACCATTAGTTTGAATCAAGAGAATAAATTGTTTTTCCAAATTAAAAATTACACATTTGAACCATCTGATCAAATATGCTAAGATTATGATAAAGCCTAATGAATCCTTCTGACTAATCTTTCTGATGACTTAAGATCCTTCTAGGTGAGTCAGAGAAGAGGATGCAAAGGGGGAATGCTACTTTGACAGAAGTCCTATAGTAACTTAATACAGTTTCTTTCCTAACTAACTTGTTATTTTTCTCCAACCTATTCTCTTTTTCTCCATTTCAGCTGGTTTTAGGGGAGAATAAACTGAATAAGAAAGAACAATGATCTCTTTCCTACCCCTCCCCAACTTCAGTCAGAACTGAAAAATGAGAAAGAAAGACCCCATATCTGCTGCTTACCTGGCTTGAGCCCTGGATCCCATCCACAGGCTCACCGGTATCCCGACAGCACCTAGCGCTGCTCTGTTCCCTCTCTCCAGACCCTTCCTCCTCCACTACTGCACAGGCACCAGGAGCATGCACTGTCTGCCATACCCTCTTCTAGATTTTCCCTTCCAGGCCCAGCAAAACTAAACCTCACAAAGAGGGGTTTCACAAAGTAGCAAACCCTGTTCTGTAATTATGATCTCTAATGAATGTTTGTATTTTTTAAAGACTTAATGTTCTCAGAGCAGTTTTACATTCACAGTAAAACTGAGGAAGGTACAGAGATTTCCCATATACACACTTTGCCTCCACACATGCATAGCCTGCTCCATTATCAATATCCCTCACCATAGAGGTACATTTGTTATGACTGAGGAACATACATTTACACATCATGATCACCCCATAGTGTATATTAGGGTTCACTCTTGGTATTATACATTCTATGGTTTAGACAAATCCTTACAATATGTAGTATACATATATAATAACACCTATCCACCATTATAGTATCATACAGTGTATCTTGCCCACCCTAAAAATTCTCTGTGCTCCTTCTAGTCATCCATACCCCTCTAACCCCTGGCAATCAATGACCCTTTATAATCTCCACAGTTTTGCCTTTTCCAGAAAGTCATATAGTTGGAATCATACAGTATGTAGCCTTTCCCAATTGGCTTCTTTCTTTTAGTAATACGCATTTAAGATTCCTCCATGTCTTTTCATGACTTGATAGCTCATTTCTTTTTAGTGATGAATATAATATACTACATTATCTCAATATACCATAGTTTATCCATCAACCTGGTAAAGGACATCTTGGTTGCCTCCAAGTTTTGGCATTTATGAATAAAGCTGCTATAAACACCTATGGGTTTATGTGCAGGTTTTGTGTAAACGTAAGTTTTCAACTCCTTGGGTAAACACCAAGGAGCACAATTGCTGGACTATATGGTAAGAGTATGTTTAGTTTTATAAGAAACAGCCAAACTGTCTTCCAAAGTGGCTATAGCATTTTGTATTTCCCACCAGCAATGAATGAGGGTTCCTAGTGCTGGTGTTATCAGTGTCCCAGATGGTGGCCATTCTAGCAAGTGCAGAGTGACATTTTATTGTTTTAATTTGCATTTCCCCAATGACATATGATGTGAAGCACCTCTTCATATGCTTATTTGCCACCTGTATATCCTCTTTGTGAGGTGTCTGTTAGGGTCTTTGGCCCATTTTAAAATCAGGTTGTTCTTTTTCTTATTGTTGTGTTTGAAGAGTTCACTACATAGTTCGGGTAACAGTCCTTTAGCAGATACGTCTTTTCAAATATTTTCTATCAGTCTGTGGCTTGTCTTCTCATTCTGTTGACATTGTCTTTTGTACATTGGAAATTTTTAACTTTATTTACTTATTTTCTTTAAGTTTTTACTTAAATTCCACTTAGTTAACATACAGTGTAATATTAGTTTCAGGAGAATTTAGTGATTCATCACGTACATATAACACCCACTGCTCATCACAAGTGTCCTCCTTAATCCCCATCACCCATTTAGCCCATCCCCCTGCACACCT